AACATGAAATGCTGCAGGTAGTCATCAGTACTGGACTAGATGAACTAATGGACTTAGTATAAGGTAGCTTTCCTATGTTCCTAATTTGTTACTGTTGTAAGCCATTATCTGCTTAATACTTTTTTACACCCCCCCCAAAGTTTAAAAAAGAATGCTGAATTGCTATAATAGTGTTGCTGTTAATTTATGTCAATGTAGATAACCTCTGCGTATGCAAAGTCGTTCAGCTTGAATCGCCACACTTTTGTCTGTAAATCCTACTCAAACTCTGTTGTGGGATCAGACAAGCAGTATAAGTGGATCTTGCACTCAGAATGGAGAAATTGGTTGTATGTCGTGTTTTAATTAAGATGCACCAATAGAAATGAAAAGAGTGAGTTACTAGAATAGAAACAACTATCTGATGGGTTATGCTCTGCAATTACTGTCGTCTTCATTTCATTATTCGACTTTTCATGCATGTATTTACAAAAACTTCCCAAAAGATATAATTATCTTCTAGAAATAACCCGTTTCTTTTGTGCCGTGAGTGATTATTAATTTTCATGTACATATGTTGCCAGAAGTGACAAGCTGGCAGAAGCCGTTCCTTTTAATGTACTTGATTCCAGTGGAGACCAATAGATTGCATAGATACAACTATAATTTGCTCGTCTAATGGACATGAACTTACTCTCAACCTATTAATAAATTATGCAACTGCTAGCCTTGCATCGGAGATCCCCTCATATCCCACAAGCTTCTGAAGTCAAGACAAAAATGGAAATGGTTTAGATTTTGTTTGTATTAGCAGTGTTTAACATTTATAGTGCTATCTATCTATCTATCTATCTATGCATTCATATGACAGTAGTGCTACTATTATACCCATCATTAGTCAGGATCTGACCCATGAATTGAAGACAAGTGTATTATAAGGAGTTTAATATTTTTTATCCCAAACAATTACAAAGTTTAAACGAAAGCAAGTAGACATCAGGGATCATATTGTACTGTGTGCACTAAATTGGAACATAAATTAGGATAACCCAATAGGTACAAAAAGAGACGATTTGGGGGGGGGGGAGAGAATTCTTTAAACAGTTCTTTTGATGACTAAGAGTAAAAGTTAGGGTTTGTTTACTTTGCTTACTCCAGTCAGTGTTCAGTTGAAACTGATTGTGGTTGCAGCTGCTAGTTCAATCTTGGAAACATCTGCAATTGATCAAGGTGCACCTGGAAGATGTTTTCAGGGTCAAGCTATATGACTTTGAAGAGAGACCAGTGTTCATGGTTAAACTCAAAAGGATTTTTCCCCTTAATGTGGAAAATAACCTAAGATTTAATCTTCTGTTCAACCACTGTGATGGATGCTTGATGGCACAGAACATCTGTCTTTGTGCCCTACTTTTGCCTTTTACTCTTTGTTTGTATGTTACACCTAGCGCAAAGAAGGATCACAAACTCCATTTTTAGGGGATCGTAGTTCATTTTGGGGGGGAAAATGTTTGAGTAGTTGCAAATTTAAACTTAAGCCCTGAAATTAATAAGAATGGCATTTACAATTTTGGAAAGAAGGCTTCTATTCAAATGTCCATTTTTCGCAAATGGTTTCAATGATTTTTAAAAAGGGATTCCCTAAAAAACATAGGCTAATCATATATAGGAAACAGCTGTTGTTATGCATTAACGTGGGCATGTGTGTCTTGAAGGTCTGCTGGCACTGTGTTTCTGTGGCCAGTGTAAATTTTAAAAAAATTCCCTCAGTGTAGAGGGAATTGTTAAAAATCTCTCCCCAGTGTCACGGTTCAGTATCAAGACTGCCTTAATATATACTTTTTTTCTAATTGCTAGCAGGGTTTCCAACTTGAATACAATATGGGGAGGGGCATGTAAGCCCCACCCCACATAGTCCACCACAAGACATGGCAAATGCACAACTTTGGGGGGAGGCAGCCCCCTAAAATATTCAATGGGGGGGCAAAAGGACCTTGGCCCCTAGGAGTTGGAGCCTATTAGTATGTAGATGTTAAGTTTAGGATAACCATTTTAAAAGTGTGAGGCAGTCTCATTCACATTTAGATGTTGAGCATAGAGAGACATTCACAGAAACATATCTACCTAGATGAGCAAAACTAAAAGGCAATGCTTAAATAACCTCATTTGCATAAAGTAAGGGTATTTTTGTTTGTGCTGTAGTAGTCAATGTGTAGATCAAAGAAAAAATAAAGTCTCTTGAAGACACATCATTTTGGTTTCTGGTGGCATTTTACTGTTGATTATTTTAAAATAAACTGAATATATGACAGCACTAATGAGCATAATATGATCATGAACAGAAAATGGGTGTCGTGAGATCCTTAAATTCTTATAGTTAAAAACTACTGATTTGATTAAATGTTAGCTGTGTTGCCTAAGATCTTTACAAAATTTACACCAGTGACCGAGCGGCCATTAATGTAAATTGTGTTCAAATGTTTTTATTTTATATCGCTTTAAAAACAATACATATAAGCAGTTGCCCATAGATTGTATGGGATTTTTTTGCTTCCTGTTGCCTTTTCTATATTCTTGTATCACTGAACCATGTGGATATTTCTTGAAAATTTGGGCCCCATTTACTATATTATTAAAATATAGACATTTTGCTTCCTGTTGCATGTTTTAGCACAGTTCAATATGATCCACATAGAAAAAACAGAATAGGATATTTAGACATTCTAGACATCTTAGACTCATTTCAGGAGCTTGTGATAGTATTGGGGGAAATGAAATATACAGGTAACCTCATGCTGGCTAGGCAGGTGTGCAGATCTTGCATGCTTTTAATAAACTCACAAAATAATGCAGTATATATCCTTGTCCCCTGGAGGATTGCTACTGTCAGCCATGCTCTTCTCTAGGATACAGTAAGATGTAAGCAACTCAAGCATAATAGGAAATTTAAGAAACGTTAGTGATTTATAATTACCAGCTATGTAGTTGTCAGGTCACATTTTAGTTCAGGGGCAAAATCTTGATCATTGATGATATTTCTACATGTTCCATACTAGAGAAAAGACAGGGAATTACAGTACTTTGTGCATAGCTGGAACAAATTGCTGATGAATTTCTGTCTCAAACACATATTGTCTTTAAAAGCATTAAATTAATCAAGCTTTTAAATGATGGATAATGTGTGTGCATGCACCCCTTGTAAGCAAGGCACTTTACAGCAACTGTAGAAGCAATAGGTTGTACTAATGATGTTTCTTCAACAAAAAAGTGATGAGGCAATAAGCTGAACTAGCCCAGTGAAGCCTTTACAGAAAGTGCACTGTAGTCATCAATCAGAGGGAAAGGAAGAAAGCTAATGCACAGCAAGGAAATCAGAAGAAAAATACTTCCCCCCCCAAAAAAATAGGTCAGAAAAGAAGATTAGACCTGAATGTTTTTTTTTACAAGTGAGTCTATTGAGGATTGTAATGAGCCATTTTAGTGAACCCTTCTTTCCTCCTTAATTGCTTGATGAAATATTTATTGTTCATTTGTATTCAGCTTCCAGAGCTATCTGGCTATAATAATACCTTTCACAAATACTCTTTTCGCTTTTGGTATGGAGTGAAGTCAATAAGTTTATTATTGCTGTTTCCTTATAAAAGAAATGTTGCAATAAACCTCATGTGAGAATTTGCACCCCGTGTTTCCAGTTTCTTTTCCCTTGTTGTTTATTTGCAGACTGCAATTTTTAGGCTACAACCCCCCCCCCCAACCCGTGCACTTTTATCATTTAAAAAAACCTGTTTTACTATTTATATTTTAAATGTTTTTATTTTATATTTTTGTAAAGTGTGTAGAGGTTTTTGTTACAATCAAGTGATATATAAATTTTGTTAAATAAATACATCAAACCTATTTTCATAAACTTTTTTATGTACGATTTGCTCTGTAACGTCCATAGATAACTTTTGATACATTGGCACGTGTGAGCTTATATTTCACAGTAAATTTCAATAGGATTGCAAGAATGGATTTTGTTATTTTTACTAGGGCTGTTTTACTAGATTATAATACTAGACTTTCATACAGTGGCCTGGTTCAGCCATCACATGATTAAACCATAGTTAAAATTTGTTATACTTTTAGTCCACCCTTCTGAAGATAGGCAACCCCATACAATATATTTAATTGGGAAGAGTTTGAGGTGGGCCATCTAAGTGATGATTTTGAGTCATTACTAAAGTGACCCCTACAGTGATAATTGATGATTAGTGAAGAACATCACAATGCGAACATAGCAGTAGGTAGTGGACAGGTCCTTACCAGCAAAAATACTGATTTTCTTTTTAAAGGAGTATTTCCCCTCTGTTAATTGCATAGTTACTTAAATAAATAAATTATTATGGCTACCAGATTTAAGGCAAATTACATGTTGATTAACAAAATCAGATCGTTACGGTCATACTTTTGTTTTTGATAGATTCAAATTGTGACAATGCTGCATTTATTCATTTGAAAACTTTTACTCTTGAGTTTTAAGATTGTCTAAATGCTTAAAAGGTGTGTCATAGGCTACAGCCGGGCCATGATGAGATCCTTATTTTTGTGATATCCCTGAGTCGCACAGAGATTTTGCACTGAACCACCAAGCAGGAACAGGATGTTTTCAGTTTAATTTCCTTGGGGTTCTGTTGGAAGAGTTGGACAAAGGGTGATTAGTTATCTGACAAATGGTTTATAGTCCTCTACAATCTTAAACAAGTCCCTAAGTAGGACTAGTTCTGGTAGCTGGATTCAGTGACCAGAGTTAAGAAGAACCTGCATTCCAACAAATTCAGACCACCTAAGTGTGATGAGGGGACAGGAGAGCAAGTGTGAAGACAATTAATTTAAAAAATCCCCTTGTATGTAGAGGTAGGTGGGTGGGTGTGACTCCCCGTCACCCACAAATGGTCTTAACTTTGCCACCCATACTTTGTGACACTTAAAACCATCTTACTTGTTTGTCAATTCAGTTTTTGCCTTCTTTTGATTTTTTATGATACTGAATAGTTTTATTTGTGTTGTAGAATAATCAACCATGACTACAGAATCTGGATCAGATTCTGAATCAAAGGATCAGGATCAAGAGCAGAAAGAAGCTTCGGGTCAACAAGGATCGGGTGGGACAGGGGCCCAAGGACAGCAGCAGCAACAGCAACAGCAACAGCAACTGAGTGAAGAGCACCATAATGCATTAGAACAATTTTCTGGTGTTGCAGCTCACAGCACCCCTGTCAAAAAGGAACCGGTAAGATCAGAACTCGGACAATTTCTTTAAAAGTCTTAACATACACTAGAAACCCAACGCATAACTTTACTTCAACACAGATATCAGTCTGATTAAACAGTACTCTTGCACACTGATTGGTGATCTACTGGGGATGGAGGGGAGAGGTTAGATACTATTCCCCTCTCTCAATTTCAGTCATATAACATTTTTGTAATTTTTGTCAGATTGTCTTACATGCTGGGCTTAATTTTTTAAACCTATTGCCATTGTTAAAAGGGGGGGGACCTTTCGCTATTCATCACAGTGTTAGATAACTGCAAATTTTGGAGAGGTTGGAAACACATTTCAGCTTTGACACCTGTTGAAATCCCATTTTATTTGGGGTTGAGTGATGCTTGAAACTAACAAAACCTTCCATTCATTAAGGCCTGGTACTTTTCAAAATGGGGACGTGGGTGGTGCTGTGGGTTAAACCACTGAGCCTAGGACTTGCTGATTAGAAGGTCGGCGGTTTGAATCCCCGCGACGGGGTGAGCTCCCGTTGCTCGGTCCCTGCTCCTGCCAACCTAGCAGTTCGAAAGCACGTCAAAGTGCAAATAGATAAATAGGTACCGTTCCGTTGGGAAGGTAAACGGCGTTTCCATGTGCTGCTCTGGTTTGCCAGAAGCAGCTTAGTCATGCTAGCCACATGACCTGGAAGCTGTACGCTGGCTCCCTCGGCCAATAAAGTGAGATGAGCGCCGCAAGCCCAGAGCTGGCCATAACTGGACATAATGGTCAGGGGTCCCTTTACCTTTATCTTTACTTACAAAATGACTACATTTTAACTACTTTCAGTTGTGTTAACATTGAAAAATTACTCAGCCCTGAGGCTTTCCCCCTCTTTAACAAAAGCATTGCTTTTGGGACATAAACAAGGTGCATCACATTAGAATGTTATTGGGAAAGGAAACAAAGGAGGCTAACAGTAATGACTGGGATTAAATACTTCACAACTTTGTTTGAAGAGATGGTATGTGTACTGTATTAGCATTAAGCTAAGAGTGGTGTAACAGGGACGCGGGTGGCGCTGTGGGTAAAAGCCTCAGCGCCTAGGGCTTGCCGATCGAAAGGTCGGCGGTTCGAATCCCCGTGGCGGGGTGCGCTCCCGTTGTTCGGTCCCAGCGCCTGCCAACCTAGCAGTTCGAAAGCCCCCCCCCGGGTGCAAGTAGATAAATAGGGACCGCTTACTAGCGGGAAGGTAAACAGCGTTCCGTGTGCGGCTCTGGCTCGCCAGAGCAGCGATGTCACGCTGGCCACGTGACCCGGAAGTGTCTCCGGACAGCGCTGGCCCCCGGCCTCTTGAGTGAGATGGGTGCACAACCCTAGAGTCTGTCAAGACTGGCCCGTATGGGCAGGGGTACCTTTACCTTTACCTTAAGAGTGGTGTGCATGGATAACCAGCTGCATTGCCCCCTTTAAAACAAGGCAGGTATGGAATAGGTTCCCCATCTCTAACTAACTACATAGTGGGCTTTGGTTAGAATAATACATACATTCTTTACTCCATCAACAACAGGTGTTGTTGGGCTAATCAGACATTATTATATCAAACTTTGAACCAAAGTTACAAACCAAAATGTATAGATTAGTCCGGTTACAAATAAATATTTAGATTCCCCCCACACAAACACACACAAAAAAAGCAGTGGGAAGTCCTCCTGTGTGAAAATTTGAGCAATTTCAGTGTTGCTCTGAGTCTAGCTGAAGGTAGCTTGATCCAAAAAGAGCCTTAACACATTTTTTCTTCCCTGTTAGATGTTAATTTATGGTGCCATTAGCTAGATAATCAAATTGCTTGTGGAATGCATCACAAATAACCTTTGAAAAAGAGTTCATCACACATGAAAGAATGTGCATTTATGCATGTAAAATAAAAAATAAAATACTGAATGCAAGTTGTGTCTCCCTGGTCATTTTGCCCTAGATAACTGCATGAACAGGATGTCAGGCTTCTTTAGGAAGATGAGACTTAATTCCCTGTGAAGGTGCATGAACACATCTTGACAGTTTGGGGTCCTGCTCTAATAGTTCCTGGCATGTTTTTGTGCACAGCACAAATTACTATAAAGGTTCTTCTGTGACAGTCTAACCTGGATAAATTCTCCCCGGCTTAGTTTTGTCCTGGTTAGCTACTTCTAGACATTGGTATCCACATCCTTCCCTTTTGAAATACTAATGCTCCTGTTTATAGTTCAAACTAAACATTACCAGCAGGTTTGTGTGGGTGTATATATCTGTTTTCTCTGCACCACCCACTCGTTTTCACAAGCAAATGTAATTCCTTTCACCATGTGCTCTACTATATTCAGAGAAGCCCTGCACTTTCCCACATATTGTGCAACACACAATTCTTTGGCTCTGAAAGCAGATTAAGGCTTTTGGCCAGATTTGATTCATTCTCATGGAGACTTGTTACAATGAAGGAAACGGACTTGGAGGATTAATTTGTGATGGATGTCAGTTCTGCAGGCTGCTGACTTACTATGAAGTCATTTCGAGCTGAATCAGATTTGGTTTTTTTTATGATGGCCAGATGAAAATAAGATTAAATTTCTAAGCTTTAACTAACGTATTACTACATTTCAGTTGCTGCTGAAATGTTGCTTCTGAACTAGTTGTGGAAGAGCTGTGTACAGAGTTAGCTGCTACTAAAGTGGCAATGCCATTGGAATGTAACTGCCAGGTGGGAAGAGCACACTCTGTTGGCTGGACTATAATCGTCATCCCCTTCTTTCCTGAAAGGGGGCATATTGCATTCAGCCATATGTCACATTGGATCTTTTAAACTCAGACGCCTTTTTATGCATTATGAATTATCAGCTCTGCCCAGATGTTTAGAAAGTTTGTAGGCATTTTAATTTAGTCTATTTCACTGCAGTTTTAACCTTCTGTATGTTTAAAATTATGGTTGCAAATTTTTTAGAGATAGTTTTATTGTTATATCTTTTTTTTAAAAAAAACTGCTTTGCGGTTTTTCTACAATTAAGTGGCATATACATTTTATGAAATAAAAATAAATAATCAAATCTGATCTCTCTGTTAAATGTAAATATTGTGTGTGTACCTATGATGAAAAACTAAATTATTAGAAATATAAAACTCAAGACTCCTGCAAAGGTTAATATATGTCATATACCGAAATGATAATTCTCAACACTTTACACCATGAATTAGCAGTTATAAAATGGAGCAGCAGTTTCATTGACTAGAAAAGCTTTTCAAAACATTGAATGAAATTTCTCTGCACTGCAGTTACGTTGCAGTTTCAAAACGTGGCTCTAACTAGTCCTCTGTAAGGGATGTCTGATTGTATCTTGTGGTTCTGAAAGCTCGCTGCAATCGGCCACATTTTTTTAATCTGAAATTAGAACTTAATCTCCCTATTTTCTCTTTGTAGGGCAGTGACAAAGAACGTGAATTTGCTGCTGCAGCAGCAAAACAACTGGAATACCAGCAGTTTGAAGACGACAAGCTCTCTCAGAAATCATCCTCAAGCAAGCTTTCCAGATCTCCTCTAAAGATTGTCAAAAACTGAAAAATATGCAGTGCAAAGTAATCCTTCTAGATGGCTCAGAATACGGCTGTGAAGTGGAGGTAAATACTGGAAGGGAGGAGGAAGATTTTTTACTATATATGATCTAAGGTGTTTATTTGGTGAAGGCTGGTTGCAAAGGAAACTTACTTCTCTTTTATATCAGAAGGAGAGTACCTGTAAGAAAGGAAATATTAAAAAAGCATGTGGTTTGTGTGTATTCAGTCTGGAATACTGGCAGTAGAAACAAAAACAGAAATTGAATAATCCTTCTCCCAAGGCTCTATGTGATAATTCACCTAGCAATTCAGCCTTTCCCTCAAAATATATTTGCCCTTGTGATATTGATGAGCAGTGAGAGTACAGAGCAGCAGGAAACACCAGCAAGGAAAAGAGACAGTAACGATACAGATCGGGAACTGCTGGTTATTCTGTACCGCAGTTGGATTCTATAGCTGTGTCTGAATCTATCTGAAGTGTGCTGTTTCAGGCTTTCTATCAGTCAAGAGACTTTTGGTTCACATATTCTTCAAAGAAAGGCCTGTCTAGAATTTCACACTTTTATTCTCAGGGTATGAATCTTGGTGATAACTGTTCAGAAAGAGCAAGCAATTTGTATAGCATCAAAGGCATCCTTGTGAGGCAGTGGTAAAAAAAAGCCAATTCTGTGCTAGGGATTATTGGGAAATTGACTGAAAATAAAACTGCCACCAAGATTGCAATGCCTGTACAGTGGTACCTCGTGTTAAGAACTTAATTCGTTCCGGAGGTCCGTTCTTAACCTGAAACTGTTCTTAACCTGAAGCACCACTTTAGCTAATGGGGCCTCCCGCTGCCGCCATACCTCAGGAGCACAATTTCTGTTCTCATCCTGAAGCAAAGTTCTTAACCCAGGGTACCACTGTATAATAAACATGTTGTGGGTGTATTTGTAGTGCTCTCCATTTAATATAGATATATTTAGAACTGGGAAAAGGTGTAGAAAGAGGAAGCAAGGTGATACAGTGGTTGGACCACCTTCCTAATGAGGAAATGTAGGGGCTTTTTAGCTTAGGAAGAAAGGTAACAGTGTGGGGACCTGATAGAAGTTTCTGATAATGGGCTGGGACATGATAGTTTGCCTATGTAGAGAAAATGACTAGGGACCTTTTATCTTACAGTAGTAGAATTCAGAGTCACCAAATGAAATAGATTAACAAACAGTTCAGAAGAAAAGTACTTATTCACAATGCTTAGTTCATATGGAAATTTGTGATCACAAGCTATGGTGATGATTACTTTAAAAAGAAAACTTGACGCCCAACGCCTTTGACCTAGGAGGCTCTCCAACATTAAATAAAAAGCAAAACACATCCTATTTCTGCCCCAGTGATGCCACTACTCCTTGTTTGCTACTTTTCTCTGCTTGGGCTGAGAGCACCCTTATTCCTTATAAATCAGAACAATGTGAGCAGGGTAGAAGGTCAGGCATCAAGGGAGAAGACAGCAGGGAAATATTTCTCCAGTCAGGAGTCCACCACAGTTCCACCAAATTCTGAAAATAGTGCTTAACATTATTCGTAGACTAAAAGGACAGAGCTTTGATGATTGGAAAAAAGGGTTAGCTTATAGAACATACATTCCAGTTCTAATGCAAACAAGTTTGTTAACAATTCCTACCTACCTTATACCTATCCCTAGGGTCTCAAGTGAAGGCTTAGAACAGCTGTGTGTGTAACAAGGACAGGTTTGGGAGACGAGTCACCTAGCTTCTCTGACACGTCTCAACTGTCAGTGAAGCTGTGTGCTCGCTTGCTCTCTTTCTCTCCCCCCCCCTTCCCCTAGATTATGTTAAGGAGAAGGGGCCTTCCAGTTGATGGGCAGCTCATCAGGCACAGCTGTCAAGCCTGCCACATCACATCCTAATGGGGAACTTTAAAAAATGTGGATGAGAGGTCTATCAGTGGCTATTAGCTGCTATAACTAAATGATTTAGTTTATAGGATGTCTACCACTGAATACCAGTTGCCACTGAATACCAGGGATCCCATTCCAGCCATCCCATAACACATGGCTCAGAATTCAGAGAGTCCAATGAGCTGTCTAGGGATGAGATGTCAAGATATTAAGGATAATATAGTTGTCCAGCAGAGAGCATAGCAGGATATGGTGTTGCTTCAATTCTGGCTCTGTTCCAACTAAGCAGGTTTATAGCTGGTTTAGCTGCTGTACCCCTTCCTGACCTTCTATCAGAGTTCTGATTCTGAGTGCGGGGAGTGGGTTGGTGTTGATGCCAGCCAGTTTGTGTTGGTTCCATCAGAACTGTGGCTTCCTTAAGTGGGATTAATAATTGGACCAGCTCTTCCTCCAAGGTCTCACCCAGAACCGTGCTGGTGCTGCTAGGTGCATATGATGCCCGAGGGGACATAGAAAATAAGAAGAGCCCTGCTATATCAGGCCAAATACAATCTGGTCCAGCATCTTGTTGTGACAGTGTCCAACCAGATCTCAATGGGATGAGACAACATGATTGGGAGGGCTGTTTCCTTTATGGCCAGTATCTTGAAGTTATCTGGTTGGCCTTTGCTGAAAATAGGACGCTGAAAATAACAAATCAGTTTATTCATATTTGAGTTTCTCTTCAAATGGAGGGGGAAATCCCAAATGTGGGTGTGCATTGACAGAGTAATGTAAATGTTGGTCATGTAAGCCTGCAAGATTTTGTTGTGTATATAGGTCAATAGATTCTCAGCAAAAAATGTGCTTTCTAGGTTTGTCAGTACTGGTAGCAGCATAGGTCAAGAGTCTCTTGCAATATAAAACAGGGATAGGATTTCCTTCTCCTTCCTGGAAGGCGTGACCAAGGCAAGCAACCAGAACTTTATTAAATTTATATCCCAAAAGAACCCGTGGCAACAAGCACACAGGTGATAAAACAATTAAAACTCTAAAAGCAAAACAATTCCAACACAGAAACAATTATCCAACGCACCAGGTTCAGTTGGGGATGAAGGAACAGAGGCTGTAAAAAATGTCTGTGTCTAACTTCCTTCACTGAATGGCATGGCCGTCCACCACTTCCTCCCACAGCACACACATCTTGGAACCCAATGGTCATATTTTGCCAAGTCAGAATTATTTTCTCCTTGAATTAGTAGGAAAACCTTGTTTGTTTCATTCTATTCTGTGACAAAGATAGTTGGTGCAACAAGGACCTCCAATGGAAAGGAAGGGTATTTAATTGCTTCTGTGTAACTAGCCAACCCAGCAGGGAGGGAGAAGAGGAAGTGTCTCAGGAGCTTTAAATCTTTAAATCTATAGTTCTGATTGAAATTACCTGCCCTGTGCATTCATGCTGTTATTAAGCTTATGGGGGGGGGGCCTTAATAGTAGCATGACACCAGTCATGATGAGAATCACATGGTGGTGGTGAGAGTTAACCTGCTGAGGAAGCATCAAGGAGGGAAGAGAAGGCTGGAAGAGAAAGAGGTGTGAAGTACTTCTGATCCCATCCACTACCATTTCTGCCACCATCTCACTGCTAGCAAATTACCCCACCTTTTGCTTGCCTCGCCTGAGATGTTCTTAGCTGCACTGACATTTGAGGTAAACTGTATATTACTGTGTCTGTTACAGTTTTTTCATAACGGATTTAACAAAATATCTATAACTTTTTGCCCATTTTTAATTCTCTTTTTTGAAAATGGAGGTTCATGTGGTGGTGAATATGCTCTCATATTGACTGGAAGTAGAATCCACATTTTCTAACAGAACTGTCTTCCTCTCGAACTCTGACCATATTAGTCAGCACCTGGAGAGTTAACCCCTTCATGTTGCAAATGGAGTTGAGAAATGCCTTCTATTGACTATTTACAAGGTTCTTTTCAAGCCCCATTCATCCAGATTGGAGTGTGTGGAACAGGTCCCTGTGAGCACCAGAGAATGCCTGCCAGAGCCGTGTTAACAACTCATGCTTTAGAATCTGACCAGTTTGAGTGAATCATGAGTACAATTAGGCAAATTTGCTATTTAACGTTGTTATTTCTAAAACCCAAAATATTTTGACATACAACAGACAATCTTGCCAGCATTAGCTTATATTGATAACAAGCTTGTTATGCTGCACTCATCTTTGTGAGCTTTCATATTAAATTTCTTGTCTATGGATCTTACAAGATTCGAATACTACCAGCAAACAATTTCTTGCTAATATTTCTCGAACAATATACAGCTTTTAGCTGCCATTCCACCCGACAGACTACAAAAGCACAGGGAGAAATGGAAGTGGGCCAACTTGGAAGTGGCTCCTCTTTCCTTCAGCTACCAGCCAGCAGTAGCCATTACAAAGGGAGAGATACCACCTGGGCAAGATTGAAAGTGAGCTAGCAGGAGGACCAGCTCAATTGGGCTTATTTTCTCCCCTGGACTGTTCCATTCAATCCACTTATTCTAAAAATTGTGCCTGAGTTGCCTTTTCTCTCTTTCCCCCTGCCCATCTCTTTTTATTTAAAATATTTATTGCCCACTCTTAACTGCACAGCAGCTTTAGAGCAGGTTACAGGTTAGAACTTTGAATTCATGCTACAAGGGTTGCCACACTGGGATTCTTGAAAGAGAGAGGCTGGAGTAACTAGCGTGGGTCTGTTGCACACCAATTGCTTCAGACAGATTATAAAACCATGTGTGGGGTGGGCAGCTTGTATGTATGAGGAATGTGTGTCTACATGTTTGTTTCTGCCCCTGCATGTGTAATTTCATAAAATTTAAAGAAACCATCCTGAATATTACAGTTTTAGTTCATAATACTAGGCCTGCTGAGAGCTCTGTTGCTGATGTCATGAGAAAAGGCCCTAATTTGGTCTGATTCCAAAATGAGGACTAGGTCACCAATCTTCTTATTGGATTTAGCAATCCTTTGGTGGTTGGGGCTTTTTCTGTTTAGATTAGTGCTGGCTTTTTAGGATTGTGAGCTCAAGGGTTATTAAAAATAAACTCTTGGCCCCAATAGAAAGTGTGCCATATTATACAATGTAACTGAC